TTTTTTTTTTTTTTTTTTGTAATTGACGTAAGACGGCAATATAATTTATGTATGTTTCTTTGATTTTGTATTTAAATTGTATATTCTGATAACATAAACTAGTGTACACCCCGTGTGATGCACGAGAACAATATTAAATTAACAATATTATAAATAAATCTTGAGTTTGAGTCACTCAATGGCGGAAGTGAAAATTACTATTGATCCTATTTAAACAGAGGAAGAAAAAAATAATAATTAAAAATTAAAGAGGAGAATAAATAATACTAAATTATAAATTAAAGATTCGGGGTCAAACAATGTAAAATTATTTTGTATAATAGAGTATAAAATTTACATTATTTTGTATAAGAGAATATAAAATTTGTACGTTTAATATTAAGAACACCTAAAATATTATATTAGTATATGTAATAGTATTCAAATTTTTCTATATGATTTTTGAAAGATGTGAAATCACCTACAACTTTTCTAAATAATGAAGAAAAACATATCTAAAAACATTTGAATTTAACATTGTGTAAAAAAAAAAATTATAGACTATTTTGTAAATAAAACATGTCTACATATATTTAAATTTAACATCAATAATGTGTATGTGTATATGTATAAATATATAGACGAATATGTAGAAAAATGTCTAAACAATTTGTTTTAAGTATCTAAAATATTATAAGTCTAATTTAATAAAATCATACCGAATTTATGGTGTTCCATCATAAAATATTTGACAAACAATTTGAAAATTATTAGTTTTGATACCAAAAATAATTACAAATATTTATTTTGATACCAAAAAAAGGAAAGAGATTACAAATTCTACCCAATAAATCAACCGATTTGTTACCCTATCTACCCAGTAAATCAGTCGTTGACTACCCTATCTACCAAAAAAAAGGAAAGACAATTGCTAATTTTTAGGACACTGTTACTGAAATTGGCGGGTGATTATATATACATATATTGGCGGAAAAAATTGGCGGGAATCCTTAAAAGATTATTCTTTTAATATATAGATAGATTTTCAACAAATATAAACAAAAACAAGAAATATGTGAAATGCATATATAGTGGTTCTTTTTATATCCTTTTTGCTATGAAGCCAACGGTTGACTCCATAATGGAGTCAACATTCCATATACAACAAGTAAACCTACCATATTCGATGATCACTTAAATAACACTAATATAGTTTTATTATTATGGTATGATTTGCTTGTTGCATACAGAAGGTTGGCTCCACAATAGAGCCAACTGTTGACTTCATAGCAAAATCGGATATGAATCAATTTAACAAATCAAAGTAACTCTTGTAGTAACTAGTTCAAATCCCGTGCGATGCACGAGTAAGAGATATTCATCATTATTTATAAATAAAAGTTCTCGTTAAATAATATTTATAAATTAAAAATATAAAATCAATATGTAATACATTTTACCTATATTATTGTATTGAAAATGACATATGAAATTTAAATTGTGCAAAGTTACATAAAACATATCTATTTAAAATTAGTACACAACTCATACAGGACACGTAACAGATAATAAACTACATTATATTAATAATTTTATTTCAAAAGTTTTGTTCATAAATTCGATTTGACAACAATATGATTCTATATAAAACTTATTTTGGTGAAATGCTATCATATATTTAAAAATTTATGTGAATAATAAGTATAGTTATAAAACTTATATTGCTCCATTCACTATAATGAGTTATTTTTTTTTATAAACTATCCAAATAAAAAAGTCTAAGTAGTTTAGTATATTACTAATTGATATTGTTCAGAAATATTTCTGATTTTCAAGATGAATACATAACAATTTGCTGAATTATCATCAATATCTTATGACAAGTTATTATGGGAATATGTTAATTTAAAAATTCACAATAATTCATCGAATTTCTTGAATGTTCAAATTACATTTATTTCAAAAGTTATCTATCATGTTTACCTAATGCGAACACGCATTTTAGAATTCATACATCAAATTTAAAGAACTTAACTATAAGAAAATGATCTTCTAAAATACAAACATTACAAATTAGATAATTTCTAAATAAAAATACACAATAATTCACTTAATTTATTGAAATTAAATGCAATCATAATTTGTCAAGAAATATTTACCTAACATAAACATACATTAAAGATTCATGTATCATAATTTAAAGAATTTACCTACTTGAAAATTTTCTCCTAAAATTGGATCCATAACATATTAG